AAAAAAAAAAGTGGGCACTCCTTGGTGGTGCAGCAGGTTACAGCACAGCACTAAGAAGCTAAAGCCACTTCAGCATGAGCTTGATCCCCACCCCAGAGGTGACCCACATGGCACAGCAGACCTCTCTGACCCTCCCGCTGCTCCCCTCAACAGTGTATTTCAGTACATCTGCCTGTTCTGCTCCCCACTCTGCCTCTGGTGAATCCCACCGCCCCTGCACCTCTGGCCTGTACTCCACCTCTGTAGGCATAAATAAATAAATCTTAAAAAAAAAAAAAAAGTGTCACATATTTACCTGCGATGAAGCAGCTTTGAAGAAAGTAAGTATTAACTTCCAAGTGAGGAGGTATCCCAGGACATAACAGAAGTCTTCGCTGAGGGGCTTAATAGTAACTATCTGTCCAACAGGTATACACCCTAAAACATTTTCTAGTAAGTCTTCTTGATTGCTCAGGAGAGACATCAGCACTGCCGGTGGAGAACTAAGAAATCAACGATAAACACAATTTTCTTCATAATTCATTTCTTAACAAATTGACAGCAAGAAAAAACAAACATTTTGAAGTAATCTATTTTCTAAACAATGCTATAAAATTCCTTTATATTCATTTTTCCCCTAATTTCACATAAGTACAACCAGAATTTGAAAGACATAAATATTACATTCACAGAAAATACACATAAATGCATATATGTATATCTAATGTACATATATGACATGTATAAAATATGCATTATTTTTATATAAATATAAGTAAACTAGTAATAAAGTATATTATAAAATATTTTAACATATATACATTATGTTTACATATAAAATATATGTATATGCTATATGCTATAAAAAGGTAGACCCTAGAAGTTAAGTGTTTACAGGAAAAACCCTTTTAGAAAATATCTAATTCAATCTTCTGTTTCACAGATGGGGAAAAAAAAAAAAACCACCAGAGGCTAAATGTCCCTTACTCTGTCAAGGGAAAGATTAAGGCTACCAACTCTTACCAAGTTCTTTTATCAGCCTGAAGGCTGAAGAGTTCATTACCACTAACTTTTTTTAGGAAAGTAAATTTAACTTCATTTTAATTCATGAAAATGTAAGCTAAAGTTCTTTACTGAACTACTGTACTCATCAACATTCTTGGGTAAGTCTCAAAAAGTGAAATACTTGTTTATATCCAATCAAATTTTCTTCTTTAGGACAGTCAGGTTAGATCTCTCCTTCTACCTTGGTTACTTTTCTTTCCTTGTGTCTTCCTTCTCCCAGTTCAAGTTTCTGCCCATAGTTTTCAATACAACCATCTCATGTAGCTGCCCTTCTCTATTCCATATCAATTGCCATTGGATCTTGCAAATACAAGCTCAGAAAATCTTTCCACTCTGCCCTCTACACACTACTGCAACTCAGGAATGGTCTCCACTTTTGTCTGCTTCACCATACGAATTGTCCATTCTTGCCAGAGTCAACTGGTAATATCCCATGTTCTACCAATAACACCCCAATTCTAAATTTTCATTTTCTTAAATATATTTCCCGATGTCTTCCATTTACCTCACTCACCCATCACTTTTTTGATTATACATACATATACACACACACACATACTTTCTCTCATTCATTTATTTTTTTTTTTTTTCCTTCAGCAAATACACAGTGCAAATACAGCATTCCATTCTGGATGCTGTGAATACAGTTAGAAACAAGAAATAAAAACTCTTGCCTTCACAGAATTTACACTCCAATGGAAGAAGATACAGACAATAAAGAACGTTAGGTGGCAACCTCTTCACATACCCCAAGCACATCCTGAATATTCAAACCTCAAAGCCTTTGCACACGGTGCTTCCCTAACCTAGGTTGTCTTCCCTGCCCCACCGAGAGGCCACTAAAGGTCTAGTGTAATGGTTCATCTCGAAAGCATCCTGCCCTCCTGGTACACGGGACATGTCCCGTAACATGCTCTCTACTCTTAGCCTTAAACACTTCTTCTATATTGGCTTACAAATGTCTTCAGAAAAAGAATGTTCACTATATACTGTATTCTCTCCTACAGCATTTAAATACTACTTTGCCCAAAGGGAGTGCTCAGTAGATTTGAATTAATCTACTCTTTACACAGCTACTATGTTCGTTTTACTAACCAGTAGCAAACTGAAAACTGAATTAGGAACAACTAAAGAAGTCTTTATAGGTGAATCCTGGATTTTATCTATATCTTATAGACAACTTTGAAAGATCTGTTGAACAAATATATACTCTAGAGCTTTTCTGTTGTCCCCATCTTTTAAGTTGTAAGAAAAATTTTAATACATTAGGATTACTTACAGGGCTGGTTCTTCCTCTTCATCTCCGTATGACTTGAGATTATCCTGATCATACTGTGGTAATTCAGGCATTAGCCTGCAAAGACATTATTTTAAATTAAATTATTTACTGTTAAATCATGCTCAAGAGCAGAAAGACCAATATTTATTTTGATGAATGCATTCTTTAATGTTTTTTCTGAAGCAACCATCAAGACTCTACATTTATAAGCTCTGTCTGAAGAATACTGACCTAACTGGATTAAAAACTTGACATCCTATTAGTGAAATTCATGTCCAGTTTACTTGGGCTTCGGTGGTGTTTTTTTGATGACTAAGAGTTAAATATTCATTCTAGCTTTTTAGACCATCATCTCGGTGATAATACTTACTTGTACAGCATCTGATAAACAGCAATTTGCACAGGGCGAGCTCTGAAGAGGAGAAGCGGGGTCAATGTATTTAACAAAGTCTGGAGAGACTCTGGTAAGTTTGTTTTCTGGCCAGTAGTCAACCTTGCAGGGAGTTTGTGATTAAGCAGCTGGTCCTTTGGGATATAGGTTAACGTTTCGCACAGGGGCTTCAGCATTGCATTCTGAAAGGATGTTTCAGACGTATCTTTGCTTTCTCCTGAAAGCAAAAAGAAATGAAACATGCACATCCCCAAACAAAGTGAGAATACAGCTTGACAGGTTTGCAGACAATTAAGTACTATTTAAGAAAATGAAATAAAAACTTGACCAACATTAGAGTGGCCCTGTCTAGAAATCTGCACTGAATGCATCCTTCAGATATTCGCAGCTATTTGACTCACTCCACAAAAGAGCAACCTATCAACTGCCCTCCAGGTGATGATCTATTGCACTGACCTGAATCACTTGAACTTGCGTTATTTGGATACCTTGCCCTTTTTCAATTCGTGTCTGTAAAGCAGAAGCAGCTGTAATGCTTCTGAGATTCCAAGCTTCTCATTAGCCCTTATCTGCTACTAGTCTGTACTATTTAAGCATTCAGTTTTTGTTTTGAATTTTTCAAAAAGTCATTTTTTTGAGTATTTATGTCAAATCTTTATTTATGTATATATATTAAATGTAAAATGTTTATTTTTACATCATTTTGTACATTTTTTTTTTCATCTCAATTGTAATTCCTGTGGGCTTCCCATCACCAAGTCACCTGTGTGCCATCACCATAGTCCCGTGCAAACCCCCCACCCCGTGTTTGACCCCATTCCCCACTCCACCCCGACAAAATGTCTCTGGTATATGGCTGTTCATTATTCTTATTATTTTCACTCCTGCTATGAGTGAAACCATACGGTAATTTTCTTTCTCTTTCTGGCTTATCTCACTAAGCTCCATCCAAGTTGCTGCAAAAGACGTGTTTCTGTTTTTTGGTTGCTGAGTAATATTCCATTGTGTATATGTACGACATCTTTTTAATCCAGTCATCTACTTTTGCGCATTTGAGCTGCTTCTATGTTTTTCCAATTGTAAATAAAGCAGCAATAAACATAGGGGTGCAGGTATCTCAAAAAGTCATTCTTTAAAAAAAAATTCTTCCCAAACTAATGATTTTTCAATGAATCTCATGAATACTCCTTTCTTTACTTGCCTGTAACAGTCACCAAAAGAGGTAAAAGCAAGCTGTGGATGCCTTGGGAAAAAAATTCTTTCCATTCACTGATTAGATTTTCAGGAAGATTGCGAATGGTATCCGGAGTGGCAGAATCAAAAAAAGCACTAAGCTCACAGGCCAAATCAAAGCTGACACAGGCAAAGAGTTGTACGAGTGGAACAGAATATAATGCTTGGTTCTCATTTGTCGTCTGAAAAAGACAAAAATGAAACAGATAAGCAAACTTGTCCCAGAACACCACAAATCCAGGTAACAGAGAAGTATCTTTTCATTTCCCTTAATTTTAAAATAAAAAACATTTGAAGTGTGAGGTCTCAGGAGACATACTGCTTTATTTTTATAACTATGAAAGAAAAAATTATCAATTACCATTTGCCAAGTGAAATACATCAAACATACATGTACAATAATCTCGGGAGCTACTAACTGGATGTTAGTAAGTTTTTTAAAATAAGGAAACTGAGGCCCAACTACATCAAGTTTAAAATTCTAAGCCACACAACTAAGAGCAGGCAGAGCAGAGATTTGGACTATCTCATCCTAACTGACTTCCATATTACAATCCACAGTTATGACACAGTGGGCTGTTTTGGGACATTAAAAAGAATACTAACTCTTAATTTGCTTAATCTTTAATGCAGTATTCTGACAACACCAACATAGTAAGTTTGAAGAATCACTCGAACCATAAAGACCAAAAAACTTGTCCAGCTAAGATAAAACCTGAAAAGAGCCAAGCTGCAAATATTTTCATTTAAATGACCTCATGGAGAGAACATTTTAACAGCACTAATTTGGTCACTGAATGATACTGATAGATATTAAATCCTATCTTTTTACTGTTGTCAATAATACTTGGTGAGGGATAGGTCTAAAAGTATTTAAATGCTAGGAAAGGGGCTAATTACAATCATTACTTAGAGACTAAAAACAGCAGGTAGCTCTGACTCACAGACATGCACCACGGCCCAGCAGCAGTGATGACACATCAGAGTAATTTACCTCCAGCCAAGCCAACATGGAGCACATGATGAAGTCCCATTCACTCTCGGCCAACGGAGATGAGCAGTATTTTAGAAATAGGGACAGAAACCGCATTATTTCTATATTTACACCCAGGATCTCTGGGCTCACTTCTGACAGATTACTGTAATAAAGACATAAATAAAACAACCACTGGAGAACCGCAACGTTCGATTAGAAAATACTCTATTTTAATCACTCATACTTATGAGTGATTAACTGTCTACTATCCTATTACTCTACAAAACTGTGACCATAAACTAGATAATCTGAGCCCAGGTTGCATGGGGTGTGGGGGAAATGACTTGATAGAACAAAATATAAATTATCACTTACCAACTGAAAAGAAAAATATCTTCATGATCTTTCTTCCAGGATATTAGAATTTTTAATATACCATGTAACAGCTCTCCATCATCTATGCTTCTGGTTTGCAGACAAGAATTAAAAATGGCAAGATGTCCAAAGCTTCCTAAGTAAAAACAAAAATTAAGACGATTTTAAAAATGGCTTTGCTTCTGTAAGAAAATCTACTTTGAGATAAGTCAAAGCGGTCAACAGGAATGTCCAGGTTAGAATTACAAATAGGGATTATACTAAGAGTCAACAAGGGGCTTCTAAGCTCTACAGTGCAGTCTCCGACCCACACCCAGCATCACCCACACCCAGCATCTAACACGAACAGGGGATGGGGTGGCCTGTGAGAACAGGTTAATGACAAAGTCCTCTAAACTAATCAACGCATTTTTTGGGTTTCCATTTGCTAAATATATTATTTATGCAGCTTACTCACCTCTCAAACAAAAAACAAAGCTACAGTTCAAAGTTCAGTACAAAGAGAAATAAGACACTGCTCCATAATTCATACGTTCACTCAGTAAGCATCTACTATGTCTGGAAAGCTCATATGGGGTCTCCTATGGGGTCTCCACTCTTTGGGGTACCATTTCCTTCATTATCCTTCAACTCTCAGTTTAAAGACTGCCTCCATTCTATGAAATGCTCTAGCAGATAGAGTACACCCAGCTATGTTTCTCTGTTTTCAAATATCTTTTGCTTGTCACCTGTATAACACTACTACCCTACTATTCCTTTACTTATGATCTCTCCTCAATTAGAAAGTAAGCTGCATGAAAGCAGGAATCTTATTTGTTCTACTTACCAACACACTTATTTTAGTTGACTAAAAGAACAAATAAATGAATGAATACCAAGTACACTGCTAGAATCTGAGAAAAGATGTACAGAACGCAGGCCTTGAAAAGGCTCATCTGACAGTAGTGGCAAAATGTAAAAGCTTATCATGTTACAATATGGACAAAGCTTGTAAGTGCAGAATGGAAAACAATCATGTAAGCGAGTCAAAAAAATCCCTCTCAAAGTTGACATGGGAACTTGGACTTATAAAAAGTTAAATTAAGATACTGTAAGGCTAGCAAATGGGCACGCCAGGAGTCCTAATGTATGAAGCTGTAAAAAAGTACAGAATGTTCAAAAATGATGAGAATTTAGGTCTTTGCAGTACTGCAAACAAACACAAGTACTGGTTTTGTTTCATCACTTTGGCTAATTTTGTTTCATCACCTTCTATGACATTTAGCATGATGAATACATAAAACCCTTAATTCTTATTCTCAAGTCTTCCTCTACCCATACACCTTTTATCGATGTACCACTGGTCCCTTGGGATTCTTTTCAGTCTTTCCTCTCCCGAGACAAATTCCTCTTAGATTACAGCTACGACTGACAAAATATGGAATTCAATAAAAGTATCTCAACCCAGGCCATAGTCTATCTGCTAATGAAAATCTTCATTTGAATATCTATCCCATAGCAACCTATCTGGTCTTCTCTCAACCCCTCTTCTCTCATATCCACTCAGCATTATAATTGTCAAATAATTTAATATAAATGTGATAGTCTAACTTCTCCCCTAATTTGAGCCAATAAATCCCAGCTGCCTACAGCTGAAGGTCCTTAGCCTACAAAATTGAGCCTTTATATGATCTATCCCCTAGAACTTACTGATATCCACCTTCTATGTATCCCAAATTTTCTGTCTCTAACCTTCTACTTTAAGTACAAGGCCCGTCTGCACTCATATGGTTTGTGTACCTGGAATGACATTCCCAACTACGCTTATACAGAAAACTGTATTTTAACACTTGATAACTTCTCTTTGTGAGATCACTGCTGACACTTTAAAAAGAATGGAAAATTCTACCAACCTTTTTTGCTACATTTGTTATCACATGATGTAACTTTAAGTGTCTTCTTTATAAAGAAAGTATCACCAATCCACCTTATGTGTTCATTAAGTTAATAATCAAAGAACTATCAAGAGTGCAGAGTATTCCAAAACATTTAAAATACAACAAAAGTCACTTCCTTTTTCCCATATATATGTTCAATCACTGGATGACGAAGGAGAACTGAGCTAAGAAAGATACAGAGCGAAACCAGAGGGTATCTGCAACTGCAAATATTTCCTTACACTTGCAGCACTGCTCTACTGCAGAGTGGCTAAAGTCATTCTCCAATGACCTTCATCCCACCGTCAACCCCTTACACCATAGAAATGTAATCAGCAATAATTCCATTTATCTGTTATATTTAGATTCAATCAAGAATTAAATGAATGGTATATTTATAATCAAGTGACTAACCATGAGTACTGCACAGGTCTTCTTTAGTCCATGCCAAAAGGGTAGGTATACATTGCGCAATGAATTCTTTCTTATCTTCTTTTGACAAAAATGGACATAGACTCTGAATGGTGTGCATCTTACCTTCAGTTAGTGGGAAAAAACTGTTTAAAGAAAAGAAGAAGTATAAATTATATTTATCCTAACTATACCGGTATTTCAGAAAGTTTCTCTTATTTATTAGACTCTTCAAAATGACAATTCTCAAATACTTGCAGATGATGAAATTATATATAATTATTTCTTGCTGCTTCTGTTTTTTACAATTCTAATTTTAAAAAGAGCATATATAAATTTTCCCTCAGGTATGATTTTTTTTAAGTTATCCAAGCAATTATTCTCTTTAAGAGCAAGTGATTCCCCTTACACAGTACCAGCTGTGTCTCCTATGAACTGATATTCATATGCATGCTTAAGCTGAGTTTTATTTGCATTGTGAGATCACGCTAAACATACTGGTTTATCATTTGTAGAGTTTGTAGATATTTTTGTTAGGACATATAAATAAGTTTATTTTAAGGCTGTATAAATAAATTACAAACAAAAAATACCCCATGCTATGAACAGATCATAATTTAACTATCCTCCATTAGTGAACATGTAGGCTCGTTCTCCCAAATTTTTGCTCTTATAAATAAAGCTGCAATAAATGTCTGTTAAGTAGATACTATTTTGCAGTTGCAAAATACCTTTTTAGGTTAGATTTCCAGAAACAGAACTGCAAGATCAAAGAATCTGAATGTCTACCTTGGATATTTCAAATTGTTTTCCAAAAAAGGACATATTAAATTTACACTTTCACCAAAAATGTCAAGTACATATCTATTTCATTAGTGGCTAGGTCAAATAATTCTCTAGTTAATTTCATATTGCTTTTATAATACTGAAAAATAGCATTAAAGATTACATATAGGTATACTTCATTTGATTGTGTTTCACTTTACTGTGCCTCACAGATAATTGCTTATTTTTTCAATTGGAAGGTCTATAGCAAAAAGATTACAAGTTGCTGCTGGTGAATAGTTTTTAGTAATAAACATTTTAAATTAAGGTACGTTATAGTGCATATTTAATAGACTAGGATACAATGCAAACATTCAGGCACAGTGGGAAACCAACTCAGTCACGTAATCCATTTGACTACAATATTTGTATTATAGCAGTGGTAGAAAGGAACCCACATGATCTCCAAGGAGGTCCTGTACCATTTTGAATGTATTAATATGACATTTGAAATCCCTCTGTGTGCTGGACTGTGGTGTCAGCACAGACTACAATCACAACAAGCAAATGCAGCTTCACCTGGTCAATCGCAAATGCCCATTTCCTTGGTTGTGTGAGTTCATTATTATGAATTCTATTTTCTTCAATTGCATATGAATCTATAAATTACTCCAAAATAAAGTTCTTAGAACTTTTAAATAAGATTTAATAAAAATTTAGTTTACCATTGTACTATACCAGAAAACACACACACACACATATATCTATATAATTATATACACACACACACATACTTATGTATTTGTTTACATATATATTTCATTATATATGTGTGTGTGCATATATATATATATGTACATGTATTCATGCACAAACACACACACACACAATTTCAGAATTCTTTTGTGGTAAATCAGTAAATTCAAAATGGCTTCTGGTAAAATTTCAGCTAAGTATTTATGCTCAGCTTCCAAACTCGCACTTTCTTTCGGTTTTAAGAACTCTGGTATAGCATTTCTAGAATTATTTTAATAGGGTGATCTTTATTAAGAAAAGGGTAAATAGCTTTCCCATTTTTTTCCACACAGCAAGCAAACTGATGGCAAAAGAGTTTGGGAGTGAGGCAGAGGTGGAAGAGAAAAATATCTACCAGAAAGGTCTCCAGGAAAAAGAAGAGGAAGAGAGAACAAGTTTATGAAATGTTAATTGTTTAAAACAAGTATAAAATTTCACAACAAAATGTTATAAAGTTATTTACTTTTTTAAAAAGAGTTGTACCTAACCTAACCAAATTTAAATTGCTTTAAAAACCTTTCAAATTTTCCTTAAATTTAATATTCTCTTTCCTAAAACCTTGTATTTTCTTAACTCAATAAAAATTGTTCATTAGGCCCTCCCTGGTGGCGCAGGGGGTTAAAACACAGCACTAAGAAGCTTAAGCCACTTCCACATGAGTTTGATCCCCGCCCCCGGAGGTGACCACATGGTGAGGCAGACCTCTCCTGACCCGCCCACTGCTCTTCTCAGCAGTGTACTTCATTGATCTCCCTGTTCTGCTCCCCACTCTGTCTCTGGTGAAGCCTCTCGCCACCCCTGAGCCTCTGGCCTATACCCCAGTTCTGTATGTACAAATAAATAAATCTTTAAAAAAAAATTGTTCATTAGTTGGTGTTTGCCAATTATAATAAATCACACAGCAAAAACATTTTAAGTTAAGAATACCTTTCTTTTCTCCTATAATGCCATTTTACTTCTTCCGATGAAACACTTTGGGAAAGGATCAACTTAGCAATAATAAGAGACCAAAGGGTGCCATTCTCCATGGATCTATAAAAGAGAAAAAAATTGAAAGTGCGCTTAAGACATCTTAAATACTGTTCCCTGGATTCCTTTTACAGAATTGAATTAATCACCTTGTAAGGGCATCAATTTACTCAGGAATTTTATACCCACACAACCCCATTACTGAAAGGACTAGGCACTTAGGCTTTGGACAATGCTATCAAGCTCTCATTCTAAAGTCCCTCAAGGTCCTTCAAGAATAGGTATGTGGAGTATGTAGGTGGACTTGAAACAGAAAGGAGCTTCTTATTCAGCCCAAGGCTTCTGATACTGCAAATGCAAACCTCTTAAAGAGCAAACAACTTAATATAATCATTTCAACAAGCCAAACATTTAATTGCATGCATCACTGGTCTGCACTCACTTCCTAATTTAGATGGAGGGGTTTTGCTGGTAGGGTGTTAAGACACACCCACAACAAGATTAAGGGAAAAACTGAAATTGAGAGTAGTGGGAGGAGGGGTTGCCCACGAAAAAACCACAAGGGGTTAAAGTGCAGCACTAAGAAGCTATCCACAGCCATTGCAGCACTAATTCGATTACATCTTAAAAAAAAAACAAAAAAACAAACAAACAAAAAAACACTTCTGTGGGCTTCCATTTCTCTCACTGTTATCTACCATTTGAGTGTATTCATAAACTCAAAAAAGGCAAATATCTCCTCAGAATGAGCAAGCACTTAGTAGCAAAAAGAATTTATCATTGAAGTCTAGAATTTTGATCAACCCTCTAACTGAAAGGGCAGCAGAGTTAGCTTACATTTTACAGAAATAAAGTTATAAACTAGGAAAATACTCATCTAACAATGGAAATTGAGAAGGATTCTTACCTGTTAAATAGCAATTGTAAGAGACCAGAAGTATTGCCAAGTCCACATAAACTATCATATGTAATATTCATTTCTTGAAGCATTTCACAAAATCCAGTTAGAAAAACAGGTGGATTGTCTAACTCTTCATACCACTGCAGGGAATAGAGCAGTTCTGCAGCTAACAGAATGGACAACATATTATTAGGTGCATTTTGTGACTAGATCTCATTTTTCAGCGCCATTTTCCAACACTGTTGTACCCACTCATCTCAAAACATCTGTGATGTTCAAATTTGTTTGAGATGTCCAAAGATGATAAAACATAACATCTGTCAGATATAAAATGCTACTCCTTGCCCAAAGTTTTTTCAGTTTCATTGTTGTTAATTAAGAATGTCACAGAGAGCCTCCATGATGGCCTTGGAGTTACAGTGCTATCACCCTGACAGCATGAATTTGATCCCTGGCTAGGGAGCTGACCCACATGGCACAGCAGACCTCTCCTATCTCACCGGCTTAGCAGTGTATTTCAGTAAGCCCACCTGTTCTGCTCCCCACTCTGTCTCTGGTGAATTCTTTCACCCCTCTGGCCCACACCCTGGTTCTCCTATAGAGAAATAAATAAAATCTTTAAAAAAAAGAAAGAAAGAAAGAAAAGAAATGCCATAGAAACTGATGTTACTAAAGATACTGGAGATATCTATTACTTTTGCCACATGTGGTAATAAAACGTGCATACACGGTAAACAACTAAGAAACCCAGAACCTGAGATGAGAAATTCAAGTAGATGTATAAAAAGAGAGGAGGCAGCTTGACAGAGTACACAGCCTGGGCCTTGGTGACAGACTGAGCTGCAAACACAGTTTTCAACTAGGACACTCGATCTACCTCCCAGGACTACTGGGAGAATTATATCACCACGCATCTGTCACAAAATATGGCGTAAGAAAAAATTTAATACCTAGTCACACTACCTCTCTTATAAAGTCATATATAGATTTTGGATTCAAGAGCTTTCAGATCCGGTCAAAATTTAAATCTATTCCATACAAACTTAGTAACTCTAAACAAATCAGTAGTATTTGACTGACAGGGCTAATGAAAACATTAAATCCATAATGTTGACAGTTTATAATCAGTAGCACGTTGTAACATAAATTGTTACAAAAAGTATTATTCCTCTAATTTCCACTTTGTGTTTGAACAGATTTCCTACTTAATGTAAACTGCAGGCCACTCTCTTGCCCAAGTGCATATGGAACTGGCCAACCAAGAGGTGTGTCCTACTCTCTTCCACAGGGTGTATACTCTTGACTCTGCTAGTAACTGTCTTACAGTTGAGAGCTAACTAGCAAGAATGGCACAGGAATTACATAAATTCTCTCCGTTTTAATGTTATCTTGTAAAAGTCACACTGTTATCCACAATTCTGTACTGTTTCCTGCAGTGGAGTTCATCTTGTGAAATCCTTCTCTAAATCTCCTTGAGATTTAGTATTTGAACCTCTACTTGGGAGGGAAAAAACATAGCCCTATGCATACAAAGGTATAGGGACTCAAACATAAACTGAAAGTCCAGACACCTTGATGAAACCCTACCGACTCAATCATTTTCTTTAGTGCTGATAGCACAGGACCATATACTAATGTCATGTCAGTTAAAGTAACTGCTCTTACACCAACTTCTGCTCTACACCCAGCAAGCTTATAGCCAGATTTCTTGTTTCCATGCAATTTGCAACGTATCATTCATCACTTAAGTAACCTCAAATTTCTCCTCATTAAAATAGGGGCTGAAAATTCTTCATTCTTTAGTTTTAAATTGTAGAGTGTACTCAAAATTATCAAGATTATATTTACTGTATTTCAAAACTTATAGTATATAAATATATATATATATACATATGAAATATATATAGCTGAATGCTTATACATACTTACTTATTTTCTCCAGCTCATTGTTTTCTAGGACTATTTCCTTTTTCAGTGCAACTAATATCATTTTGCTCAATAATGCTGAAGTACACAAATGACTTGGAAGCTTCTTTGTATCTGGTTCTTTAGCATCTGATTTGAAACACTCATAATTCAAACTCAACCTTCCTTCTAAAAGAGGTCTATGTAACCACTGCAAACAGAATACATATACAATGCACAAAACCATTAGTCTAAATAACTTACAGCCTATGCAATTAAAACAGGGAACAAAAATAGAGTTACTACAAGTTTATTAGTAAAATATAGGTTCCTAGAAGTGTGGGCTGTCACCAAAAAGAATTATCAACATGTACATTTCTTTAAAGTCACTCAGAAAAAAGATTTAAACTCACTTTAAAAAAAGATTGCTTCAAGACAGAGCTTATTCACCTTCTAACAATGGTACCACCGGTGCCAGATGGTGTTTTGCAGACAGCAAACACCGATGTATGTGCAATTAGAAACATAAAAGCAAAGTAAAATACTTACATATATTACTTTTTTTTCTTCCCAGAATAAGAGAAAATTTAAGCTGGCAAGAAACTGAGGCTTCAAAATAAGCATATTCCAATCTCAAACATACCTGCATAGGAAGAGACTGTCTCATCTTTTCCCATTCACTGTTGCATGGCATCACACTCTCAATATAAACTCCCAGAAGAGAAGGATCTTCACTCTCTAGAAATGTACTTAGCAAATCCTCAACAGTACATAACAAAAGGTGAAGACTGAAAATAATGTACAGGACATAAGTTATGCCATGACTAATCGAAACACCCTGACACATGCTAAATACCCTATGCAGGTGACAATTTATCAAAAATTAAAGGTACAGAAAGCCTCTACTGTCTCTACGGCAACATACACAGAAGCAAATTGGGGATTTAATGTAACATTCATGAATTGAACTTGAGGGCCACTCTTATTTGGAAACAAAGAAAACCTCATCTATTTCAGGTAAGACTTTTCTGAAATCGTAGTTATTCCCTGAAAAGAGCACAATATTAAGAGAACACACTAAGCCTGAGTTGTCTCTAGATGAACTCTTTCAGATTTCACTTCTATTATATGAGTTTAGGTATGGATCATAAAAAGATTTGCAATGCAACACCTTAAAACCATGGCTACCAGACCCCAAAACACGCCACTGCAGAGCAATCACTGTGTAGAGCCATGAGCAGTTATGGTTACAATCCACACTACAAAACAGCACAACCATCACAGTGATGGCCATAAATTGGGAGTCCAGAAAATAGACCATAATGAACTATTCTTCGATAAAATGAGTCAAAATGCTCATTAAAACAAAAATCCATTTGGGGCCTTCCTGGTGGCGTTAGGGTTAACTCTCAGTGTTAGAAGTGTGATGGCCAGAGTATCATCTCCTGCCAGGGAGCTAATGTGCATACAGCACAGACCTCTCCTGTCTCACCCGCTCCTCCCCTCAACGTGTATTTTCAGGTGTTCTGTTCTCCACTCTGTCATAGTGAATCCTTCACCCCACACCTCTGGCCTACACCCCAGTTTTTATATGCATAAATAAAAATAAATTTTAAAAAATCCTTCAGAATAATTGTTTGGATTTCTTAACATCACAAGCCAATTTTACTAATGGGTTTTACAAGTACTCAATACTTACTACATAATACTTAACAAGTACGGCTATTATTTAATATCTACCAAGTCTTAAGAAGATATTGTATAACTGAGCACAAAAATGGTTACCTTTTGATATCCAAAGATGAACACTGAACTTGGTTCTTCAGCCACAAAGCAGACAAACGTAAGAAGGTACTTTGTTCAAATATATTGCCAGTTTGATGGACCAATAAGTTCACACCAGAGAGCCAAGTATTTTTCAGTTTACAGACAAGGAAGTCTAAAATCAAGATGTTGAAAGTAATTTATAGCCCACTGAAGTTAACTATATCACAAAATGCCTGAAAAAAATTGTAGATCTGAGATTTTTTTAAAAGCATTTTAAAATGAAAACATAGGGGCGTCCCTGGTGGTACAAGGTGTTAAGATGCAGCACTATGAAGCTATATGCAGCCACTGCAGCACGAGTTCGATCCCCAGCCAGTGACTGACCCACATGGCGCAGCAGACTGCTCCTGTGTGGCTGCTGCTCCCCTCCGCAGTGCATTTCAGTCAGTTTGCCTGTTCTGCTCCCAACTCTGTCTCTGGTGAATCTCTTACCTCCTCCACATCTCTGGCCTACACCCCAGCTCTTCTATGCATAAATAACTATAAATAAATCTTTAAAAAAATTAAATTAAAACATAAAATCATCAACTGCTGAAACAAATATACAAGTTAGCAAGTGCCATGTAAATGCAAAAATAAGAAGATTCTTAAAGTTAGCTTTTTTTTCCTCTGAAGGTATTACAAGAGATTTATCCTTTTGGAGATGTTAAAAATACACTGCTTTTCAAAGACAGAAGTCTATTAAAGAACGGGTTGGGGAAAAGGATTCGCAAGATTATTTCTATTAAATATGTCTCAGCTAACATACAAGGCAAGACTATTGTCCTTAAAAGATAATCTTATTTTCACATTGCCATACATCAAGAATGAATATTTCTAGTAATAAGAGACAGGGATGCACTGCATGTTAAAGCTGCCTTTTATGACCACAGAAACTGAGGCTTCAAGAAATCAACTTACCAGAGCTAGGGCGTGAAGGGGCTAAGATTCTAAATTCACAGCTCTCGTCTCTTGTCCCTCCCAACCGTCTCTTAAAATGTAAGAACTTTAAATTCATGTCTGTATAGATCGTCCCCTCACCCATTTCCATTTATTTTATGCTACACTTATTTCCAGACCATATTTGTTTCTTCAGTCATCTAGAATCTTTTTATTCTGTGCAACTCCTCTTCTGGCACAGAATACTTTGCTCTTTTCAGTGAGGATCAACCCAGTACAGCAGGGAGAGCTCAGGCAGGGGTTTATCTGACTGTGAGCACTGAAGGTTCTGCAAAGCATTTTAGGGGTTTTGTTCACCTGGATGTGATCAATGACCAGTCTACATTTAAACCATTAACTTCGGCATTCCTTTCTACTCTTTTAAGCCTGCACAGTAAAAATTAGCACTTTTTTTTGGTCACCAACCCTGCATCCCCACTGCTTGGCCTGAGCACACCTACGAACTTCAACACTGTAACCAGAAACTGGCATGCACTGCATCTGAGAGTGACATCCTTCGATGGTTGGTGGCTATTTGGATATGTGCACCCTTGATGGCCAGGGAAGTTTCATGAATGTTCTTATGATGTGAATTGGTTGATTTGCATGACTTTGTAAGATTTTCCAGGTCAAGTGAGTAGCAAATCATTTTCAGAGATGACCTGAAGCCACTAAGAGCAAGAAGACTACACGCATTTTTTAAAAATATAGTTCCAAACTTGTAATTATTTTTTATAGTTTTCTTTCTTTTGAAGATTTACTTATTTATGCATACAGAACTGGGGTACAGGCCAGTGGTGTAGGGGTGGTGAGAGGACTCACCAAAGACAGAGTGGGGAGCAGAACAGGGAGATGGATGAAGTACACAGCTGAGGGGAGCAGCGGGCGAGACAGGAGAGGTCTGTCTCACCATGCAGGTCACCTCTGGGACCAGGGATCAAACTCACACTGAAGAGCTAGCTTGCAGTCCTATGTTTTAACCCGTTGTGCCACTAGGGAGGGCCCCATATGCATTTTTAAGGTGACTTCTAAAACTGAATGTGTTTTTAGATTTGCAGCTCTTTATTCAAAATGCTTTCAACTTTCAAACACGTTATGAACTGGGCACTAACACTATGAAATTAGAGTCATAACAAAACATTTGAGCAGTAGGCTATTACCTGGCAAATGTGTTTTCTCTTTGCTCTCAGCACATAACTGAAAGAGAGTTAATAATAAATCTTCAGATGATGGCATTAACAAGCATCCTTTAGCTGAGCTGAAGTAGTTGTAGACCACATCACAGATGAAAGACATTGATGAGTCCTTATTTTCCACTTCTGACAATTTCTTTGCTTTGGATAAAGTTTCATGAAGTTTAACAATAATTCTTTCAACATATACTTCTCCAATCAAGTAATCTAGAGGAAAAAACATTCATACAGGTAAAAATTTTAAAATGTTAACTATATTTGTGAATACCTTACTTTGGCTAATAATGACTTAGTCTTCCCCCTTGAGTTTGATATGTATCCGACAGAAAAAAATCTTATCAACTATCAGTCTGTTTTCTCCCACATAAAAATTCTCACAAAACAAGAATAGTTTTATTTTTTTAATATTTGTAAGTTTATTTTTTCATAGAAGAACTGGGGTGCAGGCCAGAGATGAGAGAACTCACCAGCAACAGAGTGGGGCGCAGAACTGGTGGGCCCTGCTGAAATGTACTGCTAAGGGGAACAGTGGGCAAAACAGAAGTCTACTGCACCACCTGAAGACAGAACCCAGGCTGCAGCTGTGACAGTAGAGAGACCCAGATCCTAGGCCACAAGGAGTGGACCTAACTATGAAACTAAAAATATTAAGTATCTTCATGCTATAAAGATTAATAAACACTTAGGGTGTTTACAAAATTAAGCTATCTAAATGACCTACATCTTGCTAACCTCAACCAGTAATACGCAAAATGAGAAGCATGGGATCCCTCCCAAAAGTGAAAGGATTATCCCCTACAAAAAAAGCAAGTGATATTTTTACCTACCATCTTTAACATGTTGGGATAATACCAAGCTTAGAAGATTCCATCTTTCAGAGAAGAAAGATTCTGAAGACACTGTGGATTCCCAGTCTTTATTACAAAGATGGTCTGCCAAAGCTGCCAATTTCTCTCCAAGGACCTCGCCTTTCAGCCAATCAGTTACTAAAGCATGCTTATCTGAACTAGAACACGCCTAAAACCATAAAATTAAATAAAGGTTAGAAGCAAGACAAAACAATATACCTGCCCAAAATATTGTTTGTATCATAAACCTCTCTTCCCCATGACTGCCCCCAACGCTATGCCCAACTCCTCCTGGAGTTCCAAGAAAGCTGGCATCCTCCCTGTTTCCCGATATGCCCTGCACCTCCATGCTTTGCTCAAGCTATCTTCCCAACATAAATATTTCTCTCTTCCTTACTTATAAAAGCCCATCTATTCTTCGAGAATCAATATAAACCCACTGGCTACCTGAACTCTCCCTCCACCCTCCACTCCAGTACTTTACTCATTTCTGCTTTTCTCTGAATTTCTAAAGCACTTACTGGAACATATTATTATTTACTGTTTCATCTGTGTATATCTTGTTTCCAATGAGATTGTAAGTTCCTTGAGAGCAGAGACTGTCTTAAACTTCTTTGATACCTGCTATCAACACTGCAGATATGTTCAATGAATAATAAATGGAAGAACTTTGAAGGCAGATTGATAAATGTTCTATAGATAAATTAGTGTGCATTAAGGTTGCTAAAATTAAAGGGTAGAAGTATAATCTTCAGATCTTGGTATTACTAGTGATAAATGCTATAATTTAAGCAAGGGCAGTGCTATTTTCAAAGTTATCTGAAATAGTACTGGATTCAGATCTGACAGCAACTGGTTTATTTTCTGGGGTGGGGAAGTAAGGGGAAAAAACTGTAAATCCACCCCAAAAAGCATGCTGATCCATGTTCCCAGAACTTCTTTTGCTTTAAGGGCTGAGAAGAAAGCAATTTGCAACTTGGTTCATTTCAAAGCAATCTGGAAAAAAAGAAAAACCCAAGTGCAGATTGGATAGTGCCTGAAAAACCGTTTATCCTTTTATTTTAAAATTGTAGGTAACCAATTTTATTGTAGCCCAAACTTAAACACTGTTCCAGCTATATGGTCTTGGACAAATCTCTCAGCAAGCTAGGCCTATTTCCTAACATGAAAAGAAAAAATTAACAGCAAAATCCCTAAAGTCCTTTCTAACTTATAATTTAAACCAAAATTCAGGCTTGTTTTTAAAGAAGGTGACTTTCCAGCCCTGCTCAATAAATATGGCTGCACATATATAAGATAGAGTTTTGATAACTATAATACGCCCTGGCATTCCTAATGTAGTCAACCAAATAAAATCAATTTATGTTATAGAATCCTGTAGAATCCAGAAAATAAGCTGAATAAAATGTCTTTTAGATTAGCCAGCCAAAAAATCGGGCTACTCAGTGTTTACCGCATCACACACAGAATCTGAGTAGCACAATGGGGTGGGTGTTAGTCAGCCACGGAAGCACTAGAGGCAGACACTGCATACGGAGTTCCCAGCACTGCCCAGGCAGAGAGCAGGCTTCCAAACAGATCGCAATATGAGAAGTGCCTTTGTTGAAAATAGATATATCAATGTTCTCTTATCAAATTATTAACGCCCCATGCTCAGATTCAACATTTATCAAGCAGTTTTCCTATAATTTGACCTTAAATGTAGTCTGTCTATTGGGAAGTATTAGACAGACTAGTGCAAGTTATATGCATGATAAGTTATATTTCTCACTGAAAAAGGGTTAATATTCTTGTTTTTAAAAAATTACTGGGGTAAAGCAGGGAGTTAAGTTTAAATGGATATAGCATTTTAGTTTTCTAAGACAAAGTAGTTCTGGAGGCTGCTTGCATCATCATCTAAACATACTTAACATTTCTGAACTAGAAATGGTTTAGATGGTAAACTTTAAGTCAATTTTACCATAATTTAACAAGATGATAAAGATACTTGTAAATGAAAGTTACCCATATGAAATTTTAAAATAAAACAGCTTTTCAAAAATAGGAAGAGTTTTAGGTGGCTAGCCATGACATTTCTGGTACTGAAAAGTTACTTACATACATCTCATTAAGAAAGAAATATTAAGCCATTTTCAAAGATTTTTGAACTGTTAATGCTTATTCATTTCATTATTCCTATCACTGAATATCTTATTTGGTCATGAGGAAATCAGCAATAGTTGGTAGATTTCAATTTCCTGCACAGTATTCCAGATTAGAGCTAAAAAATGACTTTCCCTCTATTACTGATAGGGAAGAAACAATGAATTGTCTAACGCCTGCTAATTCTATTCCTAGAAAAATAATACTACAAAAAGGAAAACACCATGTCTTCCCAAATTATGTGAAGAAAGTTATAGTAATAAGGAAGCTTTCTAACACAGAGAGTTGACCACAAACCAATATGTGCAAATGACTTGGTTTGAATTTTCCTAAACCCATAAATACAAAAAATCGAAAAAAATCCTAAAATACCTTTTTAATAACCTGAAGAAGAGAATTCCATTTCAGCTCCATCTGAAAGAGCAAGAAACAGTCTGTTACAAAAAACTGCAAAACTGTCCACAATTTTATATAGATAATGAAGTCACCATGAAACCAATGCAAAACTACAATTTTGGTGAAGCTAGTCCAACCTTCAAAAGTACGGACTGCAAGAATGTACCTTTTCTTAGCAAGGTTGTCATAGTAACATATTTCCTGAACACCTGTTCAGAAGCTTCACCCCCAAATCACAAGAACGTATTTCCTCTCTTTAAGCTGACATTCACTGTCAAGAAGCAATCCAAAATACCTGCCTACAGATCTCATTAATCATGTATAACTAAAACGTGTGCCAGTGTAAACTGTTACAGTTCTTAAAAGATATCCAAGAGTAATACCTCAGTTAGATCATCCAAGACATCTTTCCTTTCCATGTTACTGTCACAGCAACGGAGGGCACTATACAAAATGTCCACCAGGAAATCAGCATCCTTCCTCTGGTCTTCACTTAGCCAGCTTATCAGTTTGTGGTATAAAAACTGTACTGCAGGGTTCTTCTGGGCAAGCTTCACTATTTCAAGAGGTTTGGTTTTGGAAATACTCTGTTTTGTATCACCTACCAGCATTTTAAACACTTGGGTTGAAGAGAAGGAGTTGAGCAGAGTGGAAAGAAACTTTAGATGTTGCTCTGACTTCTGCTCATTGATGTAATGAATACTCATCTCCGCTAGTTTACAGACTAAGTCTTCCAAAGGTTTCTTCCTTAGTGGAGATAAAAGGTCTGTATAGTTATGAGTCAGAGAATATTCAGCCACTAACTCAGAGCCTTCACCGTTCTCTCCCTCTGAGGACACACATTTTTCATTCTCTTTATTATTTTCAGGCAACTCATCGGCAAATCTGACCCTACAGACTTTTTTTTTATTGGACTTCAGGGCGCTCTTTGGTTTCTGAAGGACCCGTAACAGGCTAGATACACCCTCAACAGACTTAGCGTCGGCTTCAGGCTCATCAATTTTTTCAACACACATCGCTGACAGTCTTTCCCAGAATTTCAGTAGTACTTTCTCCAAGTTGTGAGCCGTTTTGTCACCATTTTCCGTATCTGCTTTGGCTTCCCAGGAATTTAAAGTTTCTGCTAAATGATTAAAGAGTTCCCCATCTTGCAACCTTGGGTCTTCGAGAACTGAGTCAATAAAAGGAATCAACTGAAACAAGGTAGAAATACAAAAGTTTGGTTTTTAGGAGAAATACAATTTAAATAAGGTATCTGTTAAACAGTGTAAAAGTTCATACAAATTACTTAAAAAATAAGTATTTTTCCTCAGAACCTTATGCATTAATTTGGGTTGTTTTCATATCATATGAAAGAGATAATTTCATCACATCCCCCTGAATTTCTTTACAACATAACTAACCAAGATTATTAGTCAGTTGTTGTTGACACAAATTGTACAATAAATACAATTGTAGTAAACTGTATTATTTAATACAGTTTTATTTGCTTCTTCAGACTATTTCAAGCTCTCTGCTTTTTTCTGTTGATGTGAAAGACGTGTAGAACACTTTTCCTTCAACTGCAAGCAATGGAAATTAATTATCTGAGATAGCAAATAGAATCTGCCATTTACATAATTTTGTGAATTTCCCACCATAAGAATCCATATTTTAGAACCTAGTCTCATTACTTGTTCCATAAGCCAAACACAATTCTTCACAAAAGGATATATGTACTTGAGTATTTTAGAAAAAAAAAACAAGATGAATACTGTATAATTTAAACTTAATACAAAAGACCACAAAAAGGATCTTCCAAATTCTGTTTTACACTGCACTCTCTAATAACAGGGTGTGTTACTAGCTAACCATCTAGGGAATGGTTAGCTTAAACAGTATGGCATTATATTAGCAACTGAAGGTGTAGAATTTTTACTTATCTGGTCAAAGCTACACAATAATTCATTTGTAAATTTTAAAAAGTAAATCTTTACAAGGAAGCTCAAGAAATGTGGTAACAAAGCACAATGAGTGTGGTTCTTTACGTCAGTGTGTAAGGGCACTACCATGCGACACTGCAAATACCTGGTCATTGACGAGCATCTCTTCAATATCTTCCTCACCTAAGTTTTGCTGCATTATAAATCGTAAGCATTCAAAAAAAGCAGAGATTACAGCCGAGCACTCTGAAACGCTGGTTTTGATTCTTTCTGTTGAGAGCCTAAGAAACAATAAATACTCTTACTCTCTCATAAAAGAAATAAACTAACAAGCACCAGAAAAAAGACAGAGAAAGGGCAAAACCTCAAAAGCAGCGGACTTTGCAAAACGTAATTCTTAAGCCAAAAGCTAGGACAAACAACCAATAGCTGGACTAGAATATGAGCACTGTGGGAGAAATCTTCTTTTCAAAGTGGCTCAACAAAAAACACTCATTTTCTATTCAAAAACCAATCTGCCTGCGAACTGAGGGGATTTAACCAAAGACAGAGAAAAAGGCACTTTTAGTTATTAGTAAACCCGAGCATCTTTTATTTACTAAGTTTAACAAATGCACTGAAATAACTTTTAAGTGTGACTTTTTAAGCTTCTAAAAGCTTTGAAAACTTCACTGGTTCATATTCTGCACCTCAGATGTCCACATAAGGTCAATCAACCCATGATCTCACTTTCTGCTGTATATAGCCACCAAACCCTTGAAAGTACCCCAGAAAATAACTCCAGTTGTAATTCCCCAAAAACTTAAATAATGTTTAATAAGCAACAAAACATTTTCAGGAAATTTAAATAAGAATAGAGTGTGTCATTCTACCCATTTATGAAAACAAACCAAAAACTTTAGTGTAAAGATCAAGAATTCAAATTCCTTACCCAGTAATTAGGGAGGTGAGGAAATTTTTGAAGAAATCTAACTTTGGGTCTGTAATGGTCTGAGGGAGCTTGCTGATAAATGGCAGAAGGTAAGGATAGATGACTGTAGCCAGCCCCCGACCACCTTCACAAACCACAGCTGTCAGCTTGGGAAACACACTTTTTTTTGCATTTACATGAAGCCAACAGTCCTAACCAAAGAAAAAATTAAAATAACAATTACAGATCATAAATATATTTTTCCCAACTAAAAGAGAATACATACAGCCTCTCAAAAATAAATGTATTCTACTGAAAAGATCTCTCACTGCTATTAAAAACTAAAATTCTGAAATTATAAAAAATTCATTACATATAATAATCATGTTATCTCCATGCTTCTGGAATAAATATTAACAAGAAATAATTTTAAAACTTGGAAGAGTTCTATAAAAGCTGCTTTCTAAAAAGGAGAACAATACTTAATTTTAAATATAATTAAGTATGCCGACCTCATTGGATTAAATGAAGTTGGAAGTTTTATTTATACAGGTCTGAGGTGTAGTCCAGAGGGGTGGGGTTGAGAGCATTCACCCAAGACAGAGTGGGGAGCAGAACAGGCAGGTCCAATAAGCACACTGCTGAGGGGAGCAGCGGGCGGGTCAGGAGAGGTCTGCTGCGCTCTGTGGGCCAGCTCCCTGGCGGGAAGGATCAAACTCATGCCACACTGGCTGGTGATATCTTGACAGCACTGAGATTTTAACCCCTGTGTCACCTAGGAAGCCCCTGGGGCAAATACTGGTTAACTGAAAATAAAATAATGCTATATCATTTTGCAGTCAGTTTAAGATTTATAACAAGACTTGAATTAAGTAACAAGGCATTTGTCCAATTAACTTTTAGAAGTTAACATCTCTGATCTGCTCTCGTACATACAACTAATGCTTCTATAAAACAACAAAGAAGTACTCCCAGATACATTAAGGTGTACCTCTCTTACATACCTCAATAGTTGTAAGTATATAAAGTACAGCTTCCCAGAGAGCTGGACATACAATGGGGTCACTGTCATCAATGCTAAGAAGAACAGATGGGCTGACTTTGGATGCTTCATTTTTCATCAACTGTGGAATACGCTGGCACAAAGCAGAAACTAACTCAAAGTAAGCTGAGCGAATCTACAAGAAAAAAGAAAATCTGAATTAAGTTAAAGCCTCATAAATAAAAATTTTATCTATGGTAATAGAAAATAGGTTATTCATACAAATCTTCCATTAAAAATAAAAACAGAAA